GGCGTGTGCTTGTTATCCCAGCTACTTGGGAAGCACAAATGGGGCAGTCATGGTCCAGGCATAAAGCAATACTCTATTGCAAAAATAACCAATGCAGAAAGGGCTGAGGGCATGGTTCAAGTGGTAGAGTGTCTGCTGAGCAAGCCTGAGGGCCTGAGTTCAAACCTCAGTGCCACAAAACAAATAAACACAAAAACAAATAGATAAAACTCACCTTCTGTCTTAGAAATTTATTTCCTAGGTCTTTAAAAACTGTATTAGATGTTTTCATTTAATAGTATACTAGTGGACTAAAAGATACATGTTTTATAAACTCAGAAATTATGTTAAACTAGTGGAAAAAAAAGGGAATAAGAAATAGTCTCAAGAATGATCAGAACTACTTTATTCTCAGTGTGCTGTGCTCAAGGTAGGGTTTCCATTCCATGAATGGGACACTTACTTCTGATCTGTGCTCACCAAGGAACCTCAGCAACAGGTAGCTGGGGGAAAGTGAGAAGTGCCGATATCCTGCTCTGGGGAAGAGACACCCTCTCACCTGGATCATTCTGGAGCGGAGCCTCAGCTTCTCTGAGCTAGGAATGATTTGGAGGAAGAAAGGTGGCCTCACACTGTGGACCTTGCCTCAGCCCCTCTAATGCTGGGACTCAGGCATCTGCCACCATGCCTGGCTTCTTATTAAGTTTTCATAGGTATTCTTGAGGAGCTGATTCTTTATTTACTCCTTGTCCTTAGGGCCATTTCCAGAGGTTGGTTTGTTTGTTTATTTATTTATTTTTTATTAAGGTTTTATAGTTTTCATGGTTTCTCTGTGGAACAGGCTGGAAGTGAAATCTGTTGTTACTGTTTTTTTTTTTTTTTTTGATGATGATGATATCTCATTGTAGTTTTAATCAGCATTTCTGTGATGGCTAATAATTTTTGGGCATCTTTTGCTGTGATTATTTGCCAAAATTATTTGTTGAAATGTTTGCTCATGTCCTTTTCTGTTTTTTGTCTGGATTATGTTTTTGTGCTGTTCAAAGTTTAGAGTTTTAAAGATATAGTTTAGATATGTGATGGGCAAATATTTCTTTTTTCTTAACTTTTCCACTTTTAACAGGGCTGATCTTAGAAGACTTAGTGTTGATGTAGTCTAGTCAAGATTCAACTCTTTGCGGTGCTCTAGCTTATTAAGATTTTTCTCTTTTTTTTTTTGCTTTTTAAAAATTTTATAGTTTTGTGTTTTACATTTAAATCTCTGATCTGTTTTCCATATGAAGGGTGAGGTTTAGGATAAGAATTTTTTTTTTTGGTCTATGAATGTTCAGTAACTCCAGGCACCATTTGTTGGAAATGCTGTCTTTCCTTCATTGAATTGCTTTTGCATGTTTATAAAATAAGCAGTTAGGTTCTTCATTCCATCATTCCATGTTCCTGTTCCTCTACCAGTTCTGCTGTCGTGTAGAGTGGCCTTCATCAGGTAAAGGGATTCTTCCCACTTTATTCTTTAATGATTGTTTTAGTTGTTCTAGAACCTATGCCTTCCATAAAAAAAAATTAGAGTATCTGCAAAAAATTGTTGTGAGGATCCCTATTTCTTTTGGCAGCACTGGAATTTGAACTCAGGGCATCATACTTGTTAGTCAGGCTCTATCACTTGAACTACTCCCAGACCTATTATGAGGATTTTTTTTTTTTTTTTGGTATCAGGGCTTGAACTCAGGGCCTTCACCTTGAGCCACTCCACCAGTTTTTCGAGATAGGAGCTCTTGGAATTATTTTCTCAGGCTGGCTTCTAACCATGATCCTCCTGATCTCTGCCTCCTGAGTCGCTAGGATTATAGGCTTGAAACACTGGCACTCAGCTGTTGTGAGGGTCTTGATGAGGAATTGTATTAAATCTGTGGAACAATCTGAGAATTTACATCTTTACTATCCCTGAATGTAACGTACATGCTGTTTGTTTAGATTTTTAATTCCTTTCATCAGCATTTTGTAATGTCAAAATACAGATCTTGTATACTTAAAATACTTTGTTTTCCTTGGAGCAGTTGTAAATGATATTGTCTTAAAACTTCACTTTCAACATGCTTTTTATTAATATGTAGGTATGTGGAGGATTTTTTTTGACAGCACTGGGATTTGAACTCAGGGCCTTCACATTTGCTAGGCAGGTGCTCTTTACCGTTTGAGCCACAACACCAGCCACGTGGTGAATATTTGAATATTTATTTTCTATTCCTCTGTCCTTACCTGCTCCACTTAATTTTTTCTAGGAATCTTTTATAGATCCTCAGCATTTCAAGATTTGTTTGAGATGTTTCCACCCCACCTATTGCTCATGTATGTATTTTATGCCCAATAACAGTGATGGATTTTCTTATTTATGATGGTTTGTTCAGCTGATTGTCCTGGGTTTTATTGATAGAGTCATAATTGGCAAATAGTTGTAGTTTTCCTTTCTCTTTCCAATTTTTTATATCCCTTATTTTTCCTCATTTAATTGTCTAAAATCTGTAGGACAGAGTTTAATACCTAGATTTGTTTGCTTTAGGTTTCAAGATACTGTATTCTAATAAGAATTTATTTTCTTTAGTAGTTAGAAAAATAAGATAAAATAATATAGAATTGGGGTATTCTTTTTATTAAGTCATTGGGAACCTGAAGGTTGACATAAATGCTTTTTCTTTAACAATTCTGTTCTTGAAACTCTAACACATTGATAGGTCTTTCTGCTTTAGTTTATATAAGATAGTGAATATAATCTGTACTTCTCTGATTGAAGATTTATGGAGCTTTATTTTTTTCATTCTTACTTTATTGTACTTGTAAATTTAGAAAACATTGTTGGAGGAATGTATATTGATCTCCGGACTTTCCTGGAAATTGAAGTTCTTAGCTTTATTTTTAGGTGGATTATTTAAATTTCATTGGGAAAACTTCTCTTTTCTTCCCTCTCTTCCTTTCTCCTCCCTCCCTCCCTCCCTCCTTTCCCTTCTTTGGTGGAGTTTCACCATATAGCCCAGCCTGGCCTCACACTTGAGATCCTTCTGCTTCAGCCTCCTGAGTGTTGGGATTATAGGTGTGTGTGCCACTGTCCTTGACCAGGAAAGCTTATTTCTTGTCATTTGCTTTCTTTTTTGGAATTGAGAACTACAAAATGATTCTAGCCAAGAGGCATGATTTATATTCTCATAAATGACCAATATTGTTCCATATAGTTTTTGCTATGAGAAGTTTGTGGTTTTATTTCAAGGATACTTTTAAGGGGCTTTATTTTGTTATAGTTTAAGAATAACAGTCTTGATTTTGCAGCTCACTGAGGTCTAAACCAACTGACTTTAGGGTTCAGGTTCTTATCTCATATATTACCCCCACCCCACCATCTTAATTTGCTTGGGCAGTGGAAATTACATGAACTTCATGAAGCTCAAGAAAGATTTGGGTGTACCCTAATGACCTTGAGTAAATAATTTCTGATTCTTAGTTTCCACATCTGTAATATTGCAGAGGGCTATATTTAGGGATTATTCAAGATACCATGTATAAATCCTCTGGTTCAGAATTTATCCCTGTTGAGCCTCTTCCCTTAAACAGAATCAAAATGGTGGGTATGAAATAACCTTATAAACTATTATATAAGTATAATTTATGTATGCAATTATAAATATAAACCATTAGCATTGCTTCCTCTTCAGAAATGTTCACTAATAGCGTAGTTTGCTCAAGCGCTTTATGATTGGTATATGCCCAGGGTTTGGTGATCCTTAGAGATTTGTGTTCTTGCTCCATAAACTTGGAAAACCTTTAAAGAAGTCCTTCAGCAAACTCAGGTAATTAAACCTGGCAGCTAGCTAAGGCTTAGTCTAGTTGTAAATCTTTGGTTAATTATCTATCTGTCTGTCTGTTGCAACACTAAGTACACGCTTATCTTCTCTTTATGGAATCTAGGCTCTCCCAATTTGCTTTATATTACCTTTTCCCCAATAAGAACTTTGAGTCTTATGGGATTTAAGAGCATGGCATGTTTCCTGATCTCCTCCTGTTTTGTTATTTCTGGTTGGATTGGCTGTGATAATCTCCTTCTTTGGGTATTCAACTATTGTCTACAGTAAACTTGTATGCTATGAATTAAGAGATAGGTTGCCAGGAACTTGAAGGTCTTGAACTTCTAGGAAACTAAATTGCTGCAGTCCAGTTTAGAGAGATTTGAAATATCATCTGTCAGATACTCATTAAACATTTATGTGCAGAGTACTTTCTGGGAATTCAGATGGATATAATAAGTGTGCTCTGGTCCTAAGTTTCTGGCTTTCCAAGGCAGTCTAATTAGAGTTCAAAATGACTAAAAATGTTGAAATGTCAGACATTAAGCATTTTGCACACAAAACATACCAATACTGTGCACTATATAAATTCAGAGGTTTTGTCCTATTTTTTTTTTTTTTAAACAAAGTGTGGCAAACTTTGATTTCCTCACCTGTGAAATAGAAATAAAAATGCCCTGTAGGGTCATTGTGATGTTTGGTTTTTAAAAACCCAGCTATAATATGTGAGCTTACATATATTCTTTTATAGTTAGATATATTTCTAATTGAAAAAATATTATATATGCTAAAAAAAAATGTAAGCAGAACAGAGTAAAAAGTAAATCCTTTCACTCTAGACCTTGGATTCTTTCCTGTATATGTACTTCTATGCTAGGAGTGTGGCTTTGAATATTTTTTAGTAATTATTTTAACATGCATATATGCTTATATATAATTACATAATTTTGTAACTAACATGTAAGTGAGAACATATACATGTTGCCTTGTATCCTCCTATTTTTCATTTATAAATAGATTTTGGTAATCTTACCAGCACATAAAGGTTTTTTCATACATAATTCTTATATTATGCTTAGTGATGACTAAATTTTTTATTGTATGAATGTATAGTAATACAACTGATACCATCCTAGCACTTACATAATGAGTCTATTTAAAAATATTTATTCACAACTTTCTTCTCCTTAGGGTCAACTCACTATCCTGAGTATCCAGTTTCCCAAGAAGAAGGGACAGAAAGACCACTTTGTAAGAAAGGCTTGGGTATCCCATGAACGAGCCAGCAGAAAACCGACTGGGGTGCACCAGGACTCCAGAGCCAGATATAAGGCTCAGAAAAGGGCACCAACTTGATGGTACAAGGGGAGGTGGTAATGACAACCACCAAGGAGACTCGGAGCCCGGTTTAGAGGCATCGATTTCTTCTTTCCATCCTAAAAAAGTAAGTGAAAGTTGGCAGGATAGCAAACAAAGCCAGAATTTAGGGGATAATATTAACAAAAAGGCTGTCTGTCTGTCTATCTATCTATCTATCATCACCATTGCTGGAGAGAAGATAGGGATGTTGATTTGTATTTTCTATTCAGAATAACTTTTTTTTTTTGGATGGTGCTAGAGATGAAACCTAGGCAGTTACTTGCTAGGCACATGCTGTACCACTGAGCTGTATGCCCCAGAATAACTTGAGGTCTCTTGTTAGCTCAGATATTATTTGCTTTATACCTTTCAGCTGGCACTTAAATCATATTTAATCTGTTTTATTTTGTTTAAGGGAGAATTTTTTTTCTTTTGGCAGTATTGAGGGTTGAACTCGGGTCTTTCTGCTTGCTAAGCAGGCATTCTACCACTTGAGCCACATCACTGGCTGCCTCCTTCCTTCTTCCCTCCTTCCCTCCCTCTTGCTAGGCAGGCACTATACCACCAGCCCCTTTTTGGCTTGTTATTTTTTGTTTAGGGACTTGTGCTTTTTGCTCTGGGGCCAGTCTCAGATTATGATCTTCCTATCTCTGCCTCCCATGGTAGCTGGGATTATAGGTGTGTTCCCCCACACGGGTTTGTTTGTTGCTCTAAAGTCCAGGGGCTTTCTCTTTATCCCCCTCTAGTTCCCCTCCCCTTCTCCATTTTGAGGCGTGTGGTCTCTGGATTGTTCCCCTCACCACCACCACTTTAGGGGGCAATGGGGGGGTAAGTCCCCTGTTGATTGATTTCACGTGTGACCATGAGCATGGAAGAGGTTTGGGAGGAGTTACACCTGTGTCCTGCGCCAGGACACATGGGATAGTTTTCAGTGTGGCTTGCCACCCCCAGGGCCAGGCCTCCATGTGTGGCTTGGTGCTCTACAGCTGCTTCTCCTTTGGTTTCCACCATTCAGCTGAATTATGATGGAACTACTTCTTCAGAAACTGTTGATTTCTAAGATAGCTTGGGGCAGTAGAATTCTGAGAACTGAAGGTAGAGTTCAGTCTTTCATTTTACTTCTCAGAGGAAAGAACAGACTTTACTTAATCAGGCAGTTGTACCTTAAGAGCAAAGATGTAAATATTTGTGAGCAGTGTCAGAAAATCATTGTTCTGGACATTTTTGCTCTGTGGTTTTGAGCTTTTGCATCATGCTGTATGCATTCTGATGTGACACTAGTTCAGAGTTTCTCTAACTGTAGGTTATATCCATTAGTGGATGGTAACTTGAGTTAGGTAAAATGCAGTGTTAAAAACATTGATCTGGGCTAGGGAGTGGCTCAGTGGTAGAGTGCCTGCTCAGCAAGCTCAAGGCCCTGAGTTCAAACCTCAGCAAAGGAGAATGAAAATATGAGGGTTCATGTATGTAGTAAGTAATACTCATTTAAGCTGTATTAAACTACATTACATTTGATAAAATTTTTTAGTTTTTATATAGATCTGTGTATGTATATATATAAATAATATATGAAAGACTCTTCTTCCGGTGAGTTGTAGTTAAAAACTTTCTGAAACCCTCTACTCAAAACAACAGCTTCTCCATACCAAGACAGATGCTTGTTGGAAACTGTTGCTGGATTGGACTCAGCTTGTCCAGTCTGTTTCAGGTATTCTGTAAGAATGTCACCTACTTTCAAGTGATTCTGTTTATTGTGGGAAGAAATTTAAGATTATTTCTTCTTTATTCTTGATAATGCTTTCTGAGGCCAACCATATACTTTTGGGAGTGTGCATTGTACACATGTGTACCCACAGGTGACTAGTTCATGGGGCTTTGGGTAAAGGCTTAGAATAAGTACAGTGTCATAGGCCCTGTAAGTCAGCATTGTTGGTGTTAGTGTTTTTGTCTCATGTTGTGGTGTACTAGGCGTGCATTGTTCCACTGAGTCACACTCACAGCCTAGCCTTATGGTTTAAGAAGAAGTTTCACAGAATTGGGGACAAGAATTTCCTTCTACTATTTAGACTTTACTTTCTTTTGTTTTTTTGCTTTGTCTTGTGGCATTGAGCCCAGAACCCTGCACATGGTAGGTGAGTATTGTACCATTGAGCTATGTATGTCCTCAGTCCTTGAGACTTTATTTTCTTGTTGCTGTTTTTATTTTTTTTTGTGGTACTGGGGCTTGATACACCTTGAGCCACTCCACCAGCCCTATTTTTGTGAAGGACTTTTCGAGATAGGATCTTGTGAACTATTTGGCTTTGAAATGCAATCTTCCTGATCTCTTGTTTCCTGAGTAGCTAGGATTATAGATGTGGGCTACTGGCGCCTGGCTTTTTTTTGTTGTTGTTGTTACTGTTTTTATGGCATTGTGTACTAAGAGTTTAAACTTCCCTAACCAGGCTGAGCAAACTGAGTTTCTCATAGTTGTTCTAAGGCTTAAGCAATTGGTAATGCACTTGCTTTTCAACTAATGAGAACTGTTACTAGGTTTAGATGAGTGTCTTAGAGTTTTTATTGTGGTTTTTAAAAAAGCATATAACATGAAATCTATATTTTAAGTATCCAGTATAGTATTGTTACCTGTACATACAGTGTTGTACAGCATACTTCTAGAACCTTTTCGTCTTACATGAGAGAAATTCTAACCAATTGAACAGCAACTCCCCATTTTCCCCTACCTCCACAACTGTGAATTTGACTATTTTAAGTGCTTCATATAAGTGGAGTAATTCAGCATTTCACTCTGTCACTGGCTCATTTCACTTAGCACAGTGTCCTCAGAGGTCATCCAAGTAGTATATGCCAAGGGTTTCCTTCTTTTTTAAGACTGAATAACTGAATGATACTCATTGTATGTGCTATGTGTATAATACCATCTTTTCTTTATCTAGTCATCCATTGATAGACATTTAAGTTGTTACCATCTCTTGGCTGTTGTGAGTAATGCTGTAATGAGCTTAGGGAGTGGAGACGTTTCTTTAAGATCCTGTTTTAATATTTTGGATAAATACACAGAAATAAGACTGCTGGCCCACATGGTAGTTGTATTTTGAAGGTTTTTAAAAAACAGCTGTACTGATTTCTTTAGTATTTTTGCACCATATTGTCTTGCATAGCAGTAACACCATTTTATATTCCCACCAACATGCTGAAGTCCCCGTTCTTCCACATCCTGGCCAACACTCTCTCTTCCCTTCCCCTCCCTCTCTTCCTTCCTCCTTTTCTCCCTCCCTCCTTTTCTCCCTCCTTCCTTCCCTTCCTTTCTCTTTCTGTGTCTCTTCCCTCCCTCCCTCCCTTGCTCTCCCTCCCCCAATAATAGCCATCTTAACAGATGTGAGGTGTGATATCTTGTAATGGTTTGGATTTCTTTGATGACTACTGATACTGAACATCTTTTCATGTACATGTTAGTCATTTGTATGTCTTCTTTGGAGAAATGAAGTTCTCTGCTCATTTTTAAATCGTGTTATTTGACTTTGCAGTTGAGTTATAAGCATTTCTCATAGTTTAGATACTAATCTTTTATGAGATAGGTGGTTGGCAATTGTTTCTCCCATCCCACAGACTGTCTCTCCACCCAGTTGATTGCTGTCTTTGTTGTGCAGAAGCTTTTAGTTGTATGGAGCCTCACAGGTCCAGTTTTACTTTTGTTGCCTGTGCTTTCAGTGTCATATCACTGCCAAGACCAGTGTTATGAAGCTTTTCTATGTTTTATTCTGGGACTTTCATAGTTTAAAGTCTTACACTTAAATCTTTAATCCATTTTGAGTTGATTTTTATGTATGTGTATAAGATGAGAGTTTAATTGAATTATTTGTGTGTGATTATCCAGTTTTCTCAACATTGTTTATTGGGAAACATCACTGTCCATTCCCCATTGTGCAGTCTTGGCACCTTTGTTACAGATTATTTGGCTGTATGTGTAGGTTTCTTTCTAGCCTCCCTATTCTGGTTCCTTTGACATGTATGTCTTTATGTCAGTACCATACTGTTCTGATTACTTCAGCTTTATATGTTTTAAAGTCAGGGTGTGTGAGACTTTCCAGCTTTGATTATTGTGGCTATTTGAGGTCCTTTGTGGTTCCATATGAATTTTAGGAATTTTTCTATAACTGGGATTATCTTAAAGGAAGAAGAAGGTAGGCCAAGATGCTGAGCACAGGGTTGGAAGACCTGTGTTCTAACCTGAGGAGTAGCAAATTGTTTAATTTCTCTGGATTTCTTTTTGTCACATGTAATATGAGGACAATCAATGATCTGTGTGTTCTTTTCTAGTTATGATAGTATTATATAATTTTATCAATTTCTTAATACTGAGAAAGGCTCTAAAGGATTTTCAGAAAGTACACTTTGAACTATTCTGAAATATACTTACATCTACTTTAAAGAACTGGTGGTGAAGAGAGTAATTCCTCTGGCAGTTTTTAGAGGTGACTATGCAGCTGAATACTTAGGAAAGGCTGATTGAAAATGGGAGAGGGGGAAAGGAGGAATTATATGTAGGGCCTTTCAAAGAACAAGAGTGTATAGAAAAGTCCTGAGTCTAAAATGAACGTAGCTTGTTTGAGGAATGTGGTAAAAGTAGGTAGTTGGAGTGTATTAGTCAGTTTCATGTTATTAAAATGAAATACCAAAGGCACCTAGTTTAAAGATAGGAAAGGTTGATTTTGACTCATGGTTTTGTAGGTTCCAGTCCAAGATTGGGTAGCCTTATTGGTTTGGGCTTCTGGAAAGGTCAGCATATCTTGGCATGTTTGTGTGGTGGAGTAAACTGCTTTCATGAGCCAGGAAGCAGAGAGGGAGGGTAAGGTGGAGTTCCACAATCCCTTTTGCAAGCACTTCCCTAATGACCTGAAGACCTCCCACTAGACCCCACCTCCTAAAGGCCCATGGTACTTTCCCACAGTGTGTTTTAAAAATACCCACCTTAGTGGATTTATCAAGAAAGTAGTTGGGTATGAGTTGGCATTCCAGAAAGTTAGAATTCTAAAGAGAAGTCTTGGTTGGAGATAACCATTTAGGACATAAATGATATTTAAG